AACTTAACTTAGAACTCGATGAGTCAAATTTCTGCACAGTTTCGGTCTTTATTTTCAATTTGTCATTTTCATCCAGTAAGTTCCTAAGCATGTCCTTGTGGTCCTTGGACTTAATGAATGACTCGATTTTGTCCAGTCCAATTTTGTAGGCTTCAGAAGTTTCTTCTGATGAGACGATCGATTCACATTTATAGCAATCAACATCTATTTCGTCTTCCTTTAATTCAAGGAAAGGCAAAATCATTTTGTGAATCTTTTTGCCGATATCGCAATCTAGATGCAACTGAGTAATATTTGTATAAAGACGCTTAGCAATTAGACAAAAAAATATTCATTTGTTTCAAAATTTTCAAATTGTCTCTTTGCAAATATATCAATTCATCTCTTTCCCTAACCAACTCTAACTCCTTCTACTCTATCCACATCCTTCGTTCCTCACTCTTGGACGACACCATGCTAATTTGATCAGTTAGGTTAGCATTTGTGAGGCGAGTTTGTTTTAGGCTACCACTTAGATTAGAAAATTTAGATTTTAAATCATTTAATTCCTTTTCATAGTTGGAAACGGGTATTTTGAGTGTTATGAGAATAGAATTTACCTTCTTGATCAACTGGTCACATTCATTGATCTGCTCTCCAACTGGTTTCGCTGTGAAGCATCTATCCTCCCTCTCTTTCGCTTCATCATCCCCGCCATCTGTAGTGTAACCTCTCATTTGTGACACCCCAACCGTCACCATCAGACACTTTCCTGCCAAACCAGAACCTTCTTCTTTTGCTACGAATGCCCTGCCATGAGTGGGCTTGCGTACTTCCTCATCTTCTGAATCAGTAGACCAGACCTCTACTCCACCGAACTCGTTTTCTTCAACATTTTCCTGCACAAGTAACACAGGCATGGATTTATCGTTAGACTTCTTTTTCTTGGCTTCTTCAAGCTTACGAGTGTGGTAAGCTTCATCGTCTTCATTCTCCTTAACATGCACTCTTTTGCTAGATGGTTTTTGCCATGACAATAATTGCAGTCATAGCCCGAATCACCCACAAGTTTGCTCTCTTTCTTTTCCTCTTCTTTCTAAGGAGCACTTTTAATTTCCTCTTTCTCCTTCTCTGAATTATAGCTTCCCTGCCAGTTTCGGTTCTTGGCTGGGAACTTCTTTCTTGCAAACCGCTTGGGATTGGATACCATCAGTGCATATTCTTCATCTTTCAGATCACATTCAGAAAGGTTAGATTCTGTTTCTTCTTCAATCAAATTCTTACCCTTTGAGATAAGAGCCAATGATCCCATTCCGGAAACCAATTTCGTTTCCTTGGTCACAACACTTTCATGAGACTTGAGCATTCCCACGAGCTTCGCCAACGAGTAGGATTTAAACTGTTCATGAGCTTTAACAGTTGAAACCACAGCCATCCATTCTGGCCTTAGACCATTCATATAGGTGACTTTCTACTCGATCACCTCTCTGCCAATTCCATGCTTGATCATCCTGCTGAGAAGATGGTTGTAACGATCGAATGTTTGAATGAGACTTTCATCTTCCTTTTGCTTGAAGTCACCGAACTCTGAAAGCAGAAGAGTTTGAGTAGAATGTTCGAGATCCTCATCGGTGGAATACAACTCCTTAAGCCGATCCCAAATCTCCTTTGCAGTGGTACATGCACTCACCAGACGAAAGGTGTCAGATTGTAAAGCGAATCTGATCATCCTCATTGCTTTTATGTTACTAAGCAGCTTGTTCTTCTCATCTTAAGCAACATCTTTCACGTCAATCATCAGCTGATTATACTCCTTTTGAGACTTGATGATTCTTTCGGTTCCAATATGAGAAAAAGGACCCACCGTAATTGCTTCCCAGATTAAATATCCGTTGTCCTCTGAACCCAGGACACAATCTTCAAAGTGAAGAGCCCAGACTTCATACTCTTGAGTGTACAAGATTGGAATCCTTGTAGTCGATCCAATGTTGTTGGAGATGTTAATGGGAATGGTTTGAGATTCGTCGTGAGACATAATGACTTGATCTGTTTACCTGTCAAGAATCAGACTTGTAAAGCAGTATTAGGGCAATATCGAGATCTATGAACAACGTCAATGAAGAGATGACGACTCAACATATTCAATAAAAGCGGAAACCCTAAAAATATTCTTCAAACAGAAGAGGTGCGTATGATTTACACAGTCTCCTGCTCTGATACCAATTGATGAGATTAAAACGTTTAGATCGATAAGATTCTTAAACAGATAAATCAAGAACACAATGAAAATAATAACACCAGATGAATCAATGCTTGTGTCGAATGATTAATCAATCACACCTCAGAAGAACTCTATGAAGAATTGCTACTGTAGAGGTGTGCTAGGGTTACAATACGATCAAAAGAATAAAACTGTCAAAAGAGTTCATACCAAGATGCATGCATGCACTATATAAAGTAAACCCTAATAAATGTAAATGGCTGGACAAGCCCATAACCGAGAACATAATAGACCTAGACAAAAGTCCCAATGACGCAACACTTCAAGATCCAACACTTCTCTAAGCTCACAGGCCGTTTAGGGTTTACTCTCAGGGAAGTATAGCCGCAAATGAGGCTATAAGTGCCCTTAAATAGGTCCCAAACCAGGGGATTTAGGGTTTCTCATCACAGCGTCTACTCGGCTAGTCGGCTCCTGGACTCGTCGAGTAGGTCATTAACCCCACGTGGCACATCGCGACTCTACTCGACGAGTTGTAGCATCGTCTCGTCGAGTAGCTCAATAGTCTTCAAAATAATTAAATAAATAAACAATATACCTGGAAGTCCGGATGTTACATGTTTTAAGGCTATGAATTATTCATGTTACTTTTTATTAAATAAGATATTGTAATTAATACTTTTGAATTTTGATGTGGGTTATCTATGTAGATGTTTATGGTAGATCTGTTGGATTTGGAAAGTAATCTTTATACCTTAAACAATTTTATATACAAATTGAGAAATCCTTCTATCTTAAACTATTTACAAACAAATTTACAAATATGCAACTTCTTTTAAATTGTTAAGTATTAATATTCTGAATTGAAAACAATAATAACCAATATGAAATGACCATATACAAAGTAAAAATATACAAGCAGACATTAATGATTTCAATGCTAAAAGCATCACCATCCCCTCCACCTCCACCCTTAAACAATGTCATTAATATTATTTTTTCATTTAAATGCATTTATATGTATTATTAACAATATTAATAATAACAAGTGCAAAAAATAGTATTCTTATTTATAATAATAATAATAATAATAATAAGAATTTTATTTGCAGAAAAGTCCTAATATTTTTGTTTATAGAAAAGTCATAATATTTTGTGTTAGTTTACGAAATAGTCCCAAATTAATTTGATACCGGTTTCAACCGGTCAAAAAGGGTCAAACTGCAAATTTTTGCAGGTTTTCACGACTTTTTCGTTCAAAAAAAAATCTTGAAACTTAAGTGTAGCTTTTCCGAAAATATTGAGACTTTTCTGAAAATTTTCCACACAAATACTGTCTAAATGTTTATGTGTGTAATTTCATAATGGCATGCAACAAGTTTATTGGAGTTAAATTTAAATTTCCAAAAAAAAAAAAGTTAAAACCCAATTTTTAGAATAATTCGTAAATTGGAACTTTTTAAAAAAAAAAAAACCGGTTTTCCTTTATCTATAACCGGTTTGACAAGATGTATATATTCCTTTCTAAAAACTGATAAAAACCGGAACTACTTAGCGAAATTCCTTTATAAAAAGAACGGATGTGGTCCGAACCGAATGTTTTAGAAAGTAGGTTTCGGTATTAAATAGATTTTGTGTACATCTAGGTTGAAAGTTTTAGACGGAAAGGTGTGGGCAACGTCCACAAATGTTTTTATGACATGGCAGCCGGATAACAGCGTTACCATGACACAAACACCGTCCCCTTCACCGTTTTTGCACGTTATGAGGCTTCTCGTTGCTTATTACCATCACAACCTCCCTCAACGCAGTTATCTTACTCTGTTTTCTTCTCCTTCACCTCAACATGTTCTCCACTTCTTCCTTCTTGTCAAACCCGTTTCCAAGGTAAAGAAGATGAATAATTTTTTGTTGCTTTTAAAATATAAAAAATAACTTTTCAACAAATAATAAAAGAATCACTGTTGCAAGTAAATATTTTAATAAAAATATTAATTATAAAAGTTATAATATTTTTATTAGACTACTACTATTTATAAAGTATTAGTAATATTCATATAAGTTTATTGCAAATTGTATTCATTATTAATAATATTTTTGTGATGGATTTTTTTTTACTTGAATAGTGATTTATTTGATGTTAAAAATTAGAGCTTGTGTTTGATATCAAAATGATGTTCATAAAGTTGGAATTAGGAACATTTCTTGGTATTTAGCTAAACCTCTTGTTCAATAAAAGCAAAATGAAAGACAAACCCACGAGATGCTTCATAGAAATCACATGCCAAATGATTTGTTTTTAGATGCAGGCCAAACATCATCCCCAAAACAAATGAGCTTACCATTTATGGTTTATTCTAATTTAGGTTTCAATGCAAACCGCTTTTAACTCTAAACTTGATATTAATCTACACGATATCTAAAGGATAAATTAAAAATTATATAAAAAGCACAATAATTATTACCATATAAAAAACAAGGACAACAATAACAACAATAACAATAAACCTCACAAATGAAATAAGATAGGAGAGGTAATGAAATAAGATAGGAGAGGTGGATATCAACAATTATTATATGAATAAAATATTATTCTAAAACTTAAAACTTACAAAATATCTAAATATAATTGAAGAAATATAAGTATATAATTTATCAAATTAAATTTATTTTAATTAATTGGATTAAATAAAGAAGAAACAAACACCTTACTTGAAGACAAAGAATGAAAGCTCCTAATATTTGGCAGATTCTCAATGGACACAAAGAAAAGCACATTTCTTCATCCAAAGATGGAGGTGGACAACATGAAGACTCTCAAAAAGTCAAAATGTCTGACTTCCTACTTCTCCTTGACCACATTCAAGATTCAACCCAATCAAACCGCGTCTAATTTCTTCGAAGATTCCATTCTTTTAAATCTCAAGTATTCCGAATGAGCTCACCACGTTCCTTCCTTCAACCTCTTCTGTACCTTAAACTATTCCTCCATGAATTATTATTCAATCTTAGCGGTTTGACTATTCTCTTTGACCATCTTCATCGACACCCCTTTTGATCTTCGATTTCGAGCCAACAACCAAGTAACAACAATCAATCCCCATCTGGGTATTCGTTTCTTGATCAATTTCCACAATTCCATTCAAAATATCAAGAAATGGGGTTGTGTAGTAGCAAAAGCAAGAGTGGAGGGACATACCCTGATGCTCATAGAACAAGATCCGTTGAACCCAATGCGGTTTACACCAAAACCCCTGCTCCGGCAGCTCAAACTCCGCAGAGAAAGCAGCCGCCACCGCCCAGCCCCAAGAGGGTGTTCACAGCTGACTCGATTCTCGGAAAACCATTTGAAGACGTTAAACAACACTACACCATGGGGAGAGAATTGGGTAGAGGTCAATTTGGTGTTACATATCTTTGTATACAGAAATCAACTGGTCAAAAGTATGCTTGTAAGTCGATATCAAAGAAGAAACTTGTAACCAAAAGTGATAAGGATGATATGAGGAAAGAAATTCAGATTATGCAGCATCTAAGTGGACAGGCTAATATTGTTGAGTTTAAAGGTGCTTATGAAGATAAGCAATCTGTGCATTTGGTTATGGAGGTTTGTGAAGGAGGTGAGCTTTTTGATAGGATCATTGCAAAAGGTCATTATAGTGAAAGAGCTGCAGCCTCGATTTGCAGGTCGATTGTGAATGTGGTTCATGTTTGTCACTTTATGGGAGTGATGCATCGTGATTTAAAGCCTGAAAATTTCTTGCTTTCGGATAAGAGTGAGAACGCACTTCTTAAAGCTACAGATTTCGGTTTATCGGTCTTCATTCAAGAAGGTATTGCTAACCGAATCTCTACTTTGTAACATATACAAATCTTAATCTTTTTGACTTTTAAGAAAAAATCCCATTGAAAGAATCGGTTCTTGCAAGATTTTATAGGATTCAACAATAATTAGATAGTTAACTTTAAAAAGTTCAATGATTCGCATTTTATTTGTGGGCATTTTCGTGATCAATCTTACTAACGAAAATTTCCTAGATTTTTATGTACAATATTTGCAATATATCGCGGACTTGTCTACACAAGCTCACTCTATGACACTTAGTCCTCAAACTAAGTCAAATCACTCTCGTAAACAAGGAAAACAAGGAAATGTAAGTGAAGTAAAGCAAACGATGAACAACACAATAAGTTAATGGAAAGAGATTTGCCAGGAGTACATTAGAATGATAGAGAAAACTACACAAGGATAGGATGATTATATGAGGGGACAGTAATTTAAATGGAAACTATTTTTGAATATTTACAAGGAAGGTAGTACACAACTATTATTGCTAGTCGCTAGATCTTTACACTCTCTTATGATTATAAATAAAATGAGAAAGACGTATTTACGCTTGCGGTCTTAAATCTTCGTGCAATAGGAGGTCTTGGATCTTCGTTTTTGTCTTTTTATTCGGGTTAAGAGTCCATCTGTAGAAAAAGCTTTTAAATGAAAAAATATGAAAATGTCATGTCTTTTATGCAAATAAGATTTATACTTATTTGCATAAAGGTCACGATATTTTGATTTTTTTTGAAAGAAAGCATAGTATTTTATTTTTACATGATGGAACCTGGTAAACTGGTAAAAGTCAAGAATGAAAGTTGGAAATTACTTGTGGTTTACATTATAAAAAACAATTAGGTCGTATCTGAAAAACTGGTTAAAAATACTGTATTAGTTTTTTCGTAAAAATAACACATAAAATTTAAAAAGAAAATTACAATTTTAATATTCATGCTTGAGTTGAGATCTTTAGTCTTCCTGCAATACGAGGGGACGATAACATGAATGAACGCTAAAGAAGGTCCTACTTTACTCTTACATCTATAGATTCTTCCACCATCTTCTTGATATCTCCAGCAAAGTTCTTGATTCACATACTACTTTCCGGAATTCTTAATTCAACCTTTGTGTACAATGTCTTGAACTTCTTTTGAGCTACACAGCATTATGATGACCTTGCCTTGTTATATGACAAAGCAATCAAACACTTTCAGGAAAAGCATATCGACAAGTTGTTGGAAGTGCGTATTATGTTGCACCAGAGGTATTGACACGTAAATACGGGAAGGAAATAGACATATGGAGTGCAGGGGTGATACTGTATATCCTGCTAAGTGGTGTGCCTCCCTTTTGGGCAGGTAAATTGATGCTCTATTTTTTTTTTTTTTTATAGGATTATAAGTTATAACATGAAATTGGGTATGAAAATGCAGAGACAGAGAAGGGAATATTTGATGCTGTACTTGAAGGTTATATTGATTTTGAAAGTGATCCATGGCCATCTATCTCTACAAGTGCTAAGGATCTTGTTCGAAGGATGCTCACACAAGACCCCAGGAAGAGAATAACTTCTGCTCAAGTTCTTGGTATGTATCTGTATAATCGATCATAGATGTAGATTCTTAGGTGTTGTTTCTTTTTTCAATTAAGGGCTGTTTGATAAAAATAAACCATTCCAACCTCTTAATGGTTAAAAGAAGGTAGGGTTCCTTACCCGTTTAGAGGCTGTAGGCTTTTAATTCGTTCAGAGGTAAATGCTGCAGAGGTGATCTCTGAATGGTTCTATTATCAAACATGTGATCAAACAACCCTTTACTACTGACATCTTTTAATCTGGTAAGGTATATATGAGTTCTTTTTTTTCCGCAGAATATTACAAATAAATGAAGTTTTCACTATAAGGTCCTAATTTCTTCCAAATTTGTAGTCATTCTTTTCTTTTTATAAGTCCATTTCCCCAAGTGTGTTGTCGTATTCTCAAATATCTTTTAAATATTATTCCTCAAAACAACACTTTATCAAGTCGATATTTATATGTGTCTTTTAGAAATGATTATCTGACATATAGTCTCCTATGTCTTCTAGTGTTTTGGTAACCTAGAGTAGATTAAAATTACGTATATGCCCTTATTTGAGAACACCATTAAAAGTGACTATTACAATTAACACATCCAAACCTTATTTCTCGCATTACTTTTTATTATGGTTAATTATCATATTTATGTAGTCATTATCAGAACTCACATTCAAAACAGGCTGTGAACATAAGATGTTTGTTTTCAACCTTCAAATCAAACTATGCACATATATGCTCATGAGCTCATAATATCTTTCTTGTATGTTTCCAAATTGGTACACAGAGCATCCATGGATAAGAGAAGATGGTGAAGCATCTGACAAGCCAATCGACAGTGCAGTCCTTTCTAGGATGAAGCAATTCCGAGCTATGAATAAGCTCAAGAAGCTCGCTCTCAAGGTACCCAAAACAGCTAATATTTTAGCTTCAGTATTAACTCTAATAGAGTGTGTTCATCTATAGAGGTTAACACAGACCGGGCCGGACCAGTATTGTTGGACCGGCCCGGTCCAATCTGATTATAGTGAGGACTGGGGACCAAGGCCCAGTCCATTCCAAAAACCGTACATCTCTATCTACTAACACTGAAAATATGAGTTTTATAGGTCATTGCGGAAAATCTGTCAGCAGAAGAGATTCAAGGGTTGAAATCAATGTTTACAAACATAGACACTGATAACAGTGGAACTATTACTTATGAAGAACTTAAAACTGGATTGGCTCGATTAGGGTCAAAGCTCTCGGAGGCTGAAGTGAAGCAACTCATGGAAGCAGTAAGATGTTTCACATGTTAAAAAAAAAAAAAAACTTGGAATTTCTATTTTTAAACACCTTTTCCTTATAAACTTGTTTTTATGATCCAGGCTGATGTTGATGGAAATGGGTCGATTGATTACATTGAGTTCATCACAGCAACAATGCATCGACACAAATTAGAAAGGGAAGAACATTTGTACAAAGCCTTTCAGCATTTTGATACTGATAATAGTGGGTAAGTAAAGTAGCTAAAATTTTGATTGTATTTAACTATAAAAACTATCACAATTCACATCCAATCTAATTTGGTTGTGATGTTTTGAGTGAATCAGGTTTATTACAAGAGATGAATTAGAAACAGCAATGAGGAAATATGGAATGGGAGATGAAGCCACCATTAAAGACATAATAGCAGAAGTTGATACCGATAATGTGAGTTCTTTGTTATCATTTTTGTCTTGAATGTTTCTTGAGTGTTTAAAAGTGACAAATTGGCAATTGTTGTTTGTTTTTGAATCATGATAGGATGGGAAGATAAACTATGAAGAATTCTGCACGATGATGAGAAGTGGGACCCAACCAGGAAAGCTATTCTAAATAATGCAATCTGTTTCTTCAAACAAAACAGAAAAAAAAAAAAATTGGAAAAAAGCTTTAAGAAACTCCAATGTCTACTAGATAGCAACGAATTTAGGAGCATAGATAATAATCCAAAAGAGCTGAGTCTGAGTTTGATCCATCAAAGTTTTACTATTTTCATCATTTTCCCAATAACCTACTCGTAATCTGTATAATAGTTCTTTAATCGCTCTTTTGTTTATGAAACATTTGTGTGGTTTATTCCCATATTTTCGATAATGGTGTAAAGTTGTATCATTATTGTTATTTCCATTTTGTGTTGGATTCTTATGTCTATCTCTCTACCTGTACTTGAACTAAAGAGTAAAGAGCGATCACAATTTTGTGGCCATTCTTGCTAATGAAACATGCATAAAACTAAGTAAAGGAGACAAGGTTTGATGGTGAAGTCAAACACAGTTCTGATTTTTGTAAAATAAATAATGTCAAATTTGTAAAAAGTTAAGACTTAATATTGGGAAAAATCCCATTTCCTTGACTTTATATATTAAGTTATTCTTTTGGGATGAAGTAAAAAAAACAACTATAAATATGAGTTTTATAATTGCGGAAAATCTATCAGTAGAAGATTTCAATTCAAGGGCTGAAATCAAAAATCAAAATTGTAGTAAAAGAAAAGTAGAACAAGGTGGGAAATAGACTTGCTCTTAATATCCCAGTGGAAAAGACATAAATGCCCTCCTCATCTAACTGTATTGAAACAAAAGAATGATCATGGCCATTTTTGCTGATGAAACATGTATACAGGAAACAAAATGAGTCAAATTCAATGCCAAAACCAATGCATGTTCAAATGTAGGCTTTATTACAAAAATCAACTGTGAATGTAAGACATTATCTAAGAATTCCATAACAAAATGATCCAGAAAATGCTGATAAACTATAAGCAAAAGACAACCTAACAAGTTTTAGTTAATACAGGAGCTTAAAAACTATAAATCTTGATTCAATCTTTGATCATTTACCCTTTTTTGCAGGTTTTTTCACATTTTGTGGCTTTGTGGTTTACGTGCACGTGTAAGCGCAAATTCCCCTAATTTGTGGCCTACCATGGCATCTTTAATTTGAATAGGACGATGTCTTTTTCCATTATGGATAGCAATACGATGGCCCACCATTTCGGGTATGATCATAGATGCACGTGACCATGATTTTATGGTGTGTTTCTCATCATTTGCATTCAGCTTAGCTATCATCCTCTTCAAATGAGTAGCTACAAATGGAAAACTGTTTATAAGTGGTGCCATTGAGAAACAAACTTCTTCCTTTCACCAATACCTGAAAATGGGAACATGGTTTCATCATGAGCAATCAAATTTTTTTTTTTTTGGGGGAAAATGAACTTGATTGAAAACCCTAATTGAGTTTTATGAGAAAGGGCGTATTCAATTGCAGGAATCATATTAATGAACTTAAAATAAGCAAAGCAACTTAATTGCAGAAACTAGCCAAATATGAATACCACAAGTGGACATAGAGTTATAGACCAACTTTGCAAATACATTAACCCTAACTTTAGACAATATTTGAAAATCATACTATAAACCTATAATGTTAGATTTACAGGGGGAATGAAGTAAAACATATGCATTTATAGTTTCATATCAACAAAATTCCTGGATAAATGCTTGAAACTGCAGGATAAATTTTTGAAAATCATGTGATATAGTTGGTTTGTCATCAACCATTCTTTTATAAAATGGAGAACATGTAGTAACACTAACATATTCTCAAAAAACAGATTCTAGAAGCTCTGTTAGTCTTTTAACATCTTCAAGAAACCTTATGAATTCAAAATAAAGACCTTCCATCTCCATGTAATGTACTTAAACAAATCAAACAGCCAAACAATGAGTACAAGTGTACAACCATAAGTAACGATCTTTCCGGAAATCGAAGGGGGGAAAGCATCGATATCATGACAGATGTAACTAACAGTCGAAAATGAAAGATGCCATAACTGAATGCAAGTCGCAGATGGTAAGTAAAACCAAAAAACAAAACCTAATCGCAAGCTGTAAGCATTTTCTAACAAATGTGAAGAGTTGGGGATTCTTATGATTACCCGAATCACTTCATCAAGAAGCCATTCGATAATTAAGAATCACTCGAGAGAGGCGTACCTAGATCGATGATGGGGGCGAGATCGATAAACTCGCTCTTATGAAAAATGCGACGACAGGCAAGGGTTTATTTTCAAGTTGAAGCGCCTCGTTTTTTCTGTTTCGGCTAAACGAAGCTGATAAAATGGTAAAGAATATAAGAGCATTCTTTTTTTCATATTATATTATTATATATATTAAAGTTATTATATATATATATATATATATATATATATATATATATATATATATATATATATATATATTATATATATATTAAAGTTATGAAAAGTTTTAAGTGACACATCAATTTATTATAATGTCAAATTACATGTTATTTTTATTTTTTTGACGACAACTACCTCTCTGATTTTACCTATAAAACTAACGAGACTTGAACCATCGACCTCAAAAGAAAAAAAAAACCAACACCTCATACCGGTTACATCCATTAATTTTTTATTTATACATATATGACCATTACATCTAGAGGTTTAACACTTTTTTGATAAATATATTATTACAATTGCCTTCAAGTTTCTAACAACCCACAAAAATATTATAATATTATAAAAAGATAATAAAAATGTTTTTCGATTTTCACCTATTATACCAAGTATAGAATTTCATATTGCATATTTACATTTTGACCCATAATTTTAAATTGTTTACGGATTTGATCCAAACTTTAAATTTTGTTACGTAAATATATGGTTCAAACTTTTTCTTTAAAACAATTCTACCAAAAAATTGTTTGTTTTTAAATGGTGGTAAAATGTCATAAAAAAAACTTCTAGTATGTTATATAAAGGTTGTAAACACTATAAAGAAAAATTGTAAAAAAAAAGTTTAAAAAAAGTTGTAAAAAATATAAAAACCCCTGAAAAAACTTAAAAGAGATTGTACAAAATAACTATTTTTTTTTGTAGAATTTGTTAAAAAAAAGTTGGGGTCATATTCTTAACAACATTCAAAATTTAGAATAAATTCTTAAGAAAATTTAAAATATAAGATAAAAGTGTACTAAAAAAGACAGTTTATACATTTTTATAATATTCGTTTTGAGTTTGTTGACAACTTGAAGATAATTAGAATAGTATATTTCAGAAAAAAAAAAAAAAGTTTACCACAAACTTAATGGTTATATATCTATAAAAAAACATAAGTAACTAAATGTACAAAAAAAAAATTAATAGTTATATGTGTATAAAAAATATAAATGACTGTGTTAATTTTAATTTTAATGAATCGTTATTTTTAAATTTAAGTTTATTTATTTAATTTTAGATTTCCAAAAAAAAATGTTTTATTTATTTATTTTTTTGAAAAAATTGTATGGGTTAGAGAGGCTCTTACATTACATAGAAAAGACAACCAGAAGGCCGTCGACGGAAACTCGGTATCACTACCCAAATATCTATCGATCTTCGAAAATCTCTCAAGAACTCCGGTTCCGATTCCTTTTCATGCCATTTCTCCTTCCTTGCATCATTTGATGGATAAAGGAAAGGGTTTGGAAGCCGTACAGAGATCCTTTCAGAATATTGATTTGACTTTCAATTCCAGGAACCCTAACAAATTGGCCAAGAGTTATAACCCTTTGCTGCTATCTTCCTGTGAGTTTCTATATGCTAATTCTCGTTTTCTAATTGTTTATACACATAAGAGTTGTAGTCAACATGAATTTCTAATAGGCTAGTTATCTTGAAATCTTGTAATTTGTTTATAAGGGTAACACACTAGCTGAATATAAGGGCAAGGAAGTATGTATGACATTAATAGTAGTTAATAGCAGATGTATGGAATTGGATGGCTGATCTTGCTACAAATTTATATCCAAATGTTCGTATTATGTATGAATGTGTTTCCTTTATCTTTCGATGAAAACGATGGATATCATATTTCGTAATTTAGGAGGCTGAGATAAATTTTGAAGAGAAGTTTCTGATTGTTTTGAACTTCACAGCTATGAGTTACATATAAAAGAACTAAAGAAGTGTTGCTGACGGATTTCAGTTTTTTTTTGGTTTAGTTTGAACTTGAATATGTGTCTTTTATTGGGCTGCTATCAGCTTGCTTATAATTGTTTTGTTTGTGTAACAGGGTCACCTTTGGAGAAGAGAAAACCTCCTGCTCTTGTAAGCTTGTGTCTTGGATTTATAGGCAAACATCTTGAGGATATTATTGAGGATTTAGATCTTGTGGCCAGTTTCCCACCGGACATTAAGGTAGGTATTATGATTCTGTTATTTCACACTTATGTATGTGAATATCCATTTGATGCTCAAGATTGTAGCAAAATGAGGATGACCAATTTGCGTTATAGTGAATACTGTATAATTTAATAGGAGTTTTGATATGTTTTCATTGTGGTGCTTATTAACTAAACTCTAGTCTTTCATTTAATAACCACATTGTTGTGATATCCATCGTGAACTGCATAACATAATCAAAGATGAGGAAGTTATGTGCTTTTTCATACTTATCAATTAGGTCTATGCATTTTGGTAGTAAATTTCATGTCTTAGTTTTATTTGGTAAAGGTCATTGGATGGGGCAATTCAGGGGAGTTTTTTTATTTAGTTTGTTGGTATGTTTTATTAACTCATTATGTATTAACAAAAAGAGTTTTTTGTAAAAAAAACAGCATGGTGAATCAAGCATGAGATTCTAGTCATAGAGATTTGAGTATATATCTTTAAAAGAATGTTTGTGTTTTAGTCTAAATTCTACAAATGAATGATCAACTTATCAGATGACCATAACAGCCATTGCAAGAAGAAGAAAGTTGCTAAATGATGATGTGATTGTTGCATTGGCTGAAAGCTCATGGGAAATTCTCGATTTATCAGATTCAGAAGTCTCAGATATCGGTTTATTGAAAGTGATAGGGATTTGTAGCCAATTAAAAGCTATGGACATAAGGTGACATAAGGTGTTATAATATGAAGATTAACTTGTGTCTTTTGTATGCTATTTCCATTAACACTAGTTTCTTATACAGGCGTTGCAGCAAGATCACTCCATTTGGTGTTTCAGAACTTGTGAAAAATTGCCCTTGTCTAGAGATATTGAGATGGGGGTACGATTTCCATATCCTTCTTTTCTATTTTTCTATTTTATATTTATATAAAATGTTGTGTGTAAAAAATTGTTAACTACATCACAAGATGAACAACCCAATATTTTGGGTTTATTTTACCTCATTACGGGTTATGAACGCAGTTAATATTGCAGAGGATGCCCAAGAAGCGAACACACTGCACGCAACTCTTTAAGCATCTTGAAACCAACATTGAATGATGTTGAAGGGGATTCATGGGAGGAACTTGATACAACAGAGATCATACATGGAGCACAATCTTTACGTTGGCTTGTATGGGTACGTATAGAAACATACAATATTTCTCCCAAATATACCCTTTATTAATTATAAAAAAAGCTCAACATTCTACATGCCCTTTTATGTCATTTTACATATTTCGGCTAGCTTATCAGTTAGTTTTACCAAACATCATTTTATCAGCTAGTTTATTAGCTAGCAACTAACTTTTTAGTTATCAGCTAGCTTTTCAGCTATCAGTTCCCTTTTAAGTTATCAACTAGTTCGCCAAGGATAGCCTTAGGCTGTGTTTGGTGCGCTACAACTAGCTGATAAGTTAGCTTATTTTTTGAGCTTTTTTAAATTGTCATCTTTGGCAAACGAAAAAGTAGTTGATAAGCTAGCTTTTTAAAAAGCTACTTATACTGGCCTTTTTAAACATTCCCGAATATACCCTTATAATTAATTATAAAAAACATATTATTTTAAATGTCCTTTTTGTCATTTTATATCTTTTGACTAATTTATCAGCTAGTTTTTACCAAACATCATTTTTTGTCAGCTAGCTTTGCAGCTATCAACTAGCTTTTTAAGTTGTCAGCTAGTTTGCCAAACATAGTCTTAGACTTATTCTTCTTGCTTGTTTTGCAGCCAACAATTGACAAAGATTCATTAGAGATTTTGGCAACCGAATGTCCACGTATTATAGTGAACCCGAAACCATCATTCTTTGGGCACAAAGGGATTGATATTCCCAAAATGCGTTACCTGGTGTAGCATTGGATGAGTTTATTGTAGAAGATATAGACCCAAAAACATGGGCAGTTTCAGGATCTAAGCTTATAAGGACAGCTCCACCTATTTTGAGCTCAATTGAATTGCCAATTGCTGAGAAATTTAGGCTTGCATTTGTTGAGAGAGATGCTAGATTGGCTCCTAAACGAGCAAAGAATGCTAGACAACGACAACGAAGGGCAGAAAGAGAGTGGGTGACAACAAGTACAAGTGTCAAGTCCATAGTGCTTGCTGGACAATTGAGTAAAAATTTACGTAGTTAGTATGTATCGATAGTAAAAGGTTGCAAAAGTTTCATAGAATTTTGTCCATGTATATCATGTTTTACTATATTGTAGCAATTTATGCATGTTATGTTGTATTGGTTGCAAGATGCTTAATTGTTTGCATGCAATGTGTTAATAACTCAGGCACCCTTTGAAATTTTAATGATGTTTATAACTTCATATCCCATTATGAGATGCAATAAACCGAACATATAATGTTTTTTCATCGGGGTTTTTCTGACTTTGTATTAATAATTTAATACAATATATGGTCATAATAAGCGAACTATGATTTTCTGTTAATATATAACATGGTCTATTAAGCACAATATGGCACTATGCCATACAGTGTCTACCATTGACTGATGTCATTAACTCTATAAAATATGTGCAATTTTTATATAAGATATGTGTTTGAATTCACTTAGAGCATCTCCAAAGTTACCTCTTTTTCCCCATATCTGAGTTATAAACTTAAGAGAGTTGAAATAACCGATTGATTTTGAAAATACTGTGTTTAGGGAGATGCATATAATGATTGTTGAGGTGCATCATTGGACAAAAATTAGCTTCCTGAAAGGATTAAGTTGTGAGAAAAAGGTATTTTTGTATATTGGGTTATATAAAGGACATATTCTGTTAATCAAACTATGCTATTATTATTGCTCTTGAATCCACCATTATTTATCCCTTAAAAAATGTTTCTTAGGTTCCTTAGGGTCTACTGTCAATATCCTTGATTCATATCCATGCTTTTAGAATTGATAATGATGGGGTTGAAGACGACAAATGTTTCAGGGGATATGAAAGTCGGAATTAAAAACTCAACATGCATTGAAGTATTTAACTTATATGGAACAAGTCGACTATTTAAAAGATGATTAATTTTATCTAAATGTCCAACTTTTCATAAACACGTGCGAATCTTTTAAAGAGCCTTGAAAGCAAATTAATATATTAGGGAATACAATCAATGACTTTTGGATGCATCATGTTTGATTTTTTGTGATCATTCTCGTGAAAATGCAGAAAGAAGAAGCGTTTTTGGAAACAAAAATGCTTTTGACATATCTACATCCATACTTGTTCATAATCGCTCATTCTTGCAAACTATAATGTCTTTTTTTGCATTTTCACAAGAATGAAGTTTAGTTTGCAAAAAAAGCCAAGTACAATTTTTTGAAAAGTAGAAGCACCTTATAGTGGAAAGTCTTGTTAAAGAACACCCAACTCAAGAGGATGCCACTTAGTAATATAAACAAACACATCATCTGTTTATATGCACTTTTACAGACTTCTTTGTTTACATAATAATATATGTGTTAAGGGGACCCTTTTTATATAAAATCAGCATTTGAATAAACTTAATACATGTCAAAGATGTTAACTCTGTTAAGATTCGGGGCCCATCTCGTGCTTTGGCGGCTGCAACCAACTATATTTAGGACCATAAACACGATACAGTCCAAACCATGCTCTTTTTTCCTTTATTTATATTTTATATTATCACTCTCTTAATTTTCCAAAAGTAATCACCAATGGTTGAAATATATTTGAAAAACAGCGGAGATCTGATTGGTTTTGAATTGTTACTGTACCTGTCTTCCTATATACATCGAACGGCGGCTGCTGTACACCAGACTAAATCGCACTGAATGTTGAACTGAATGGTTCCAACCTCTTAATGGTTAAGAGAAGGTAATATTGTTGCCTAACCATTCAGAGGAAATTCCAAGGCTTTTGATTCTTTCAAAATCGTGCAGATATTGTTCCAAATGCCTTGAATGCTGACTGATTCAGAGGTTACTTCTGAATAGTTCCATTCAAAGGTTACCAAACAACCCCTAAGCCATTGTTCCTTTTTTTTCCCCTCATTAAGTGTTGTTCACATAAAGTGCTAGAAAATATTTGAGAAAATGATAGCAAGAAATATAAAAAAAATATGAAAGCAAATTTGTGAAAAGTTAGGACTTAATATGGAAAGAGTTGTTCGCTGACTTTCTCTATTAAGTGATTGTCTCTGCATTAAGTAAAAAAGAAATATTAATATATAATGGGTTAGAGTAGGAAGCATTTATCCATTGATAATGTTCTTTACCTCTCTACCTTTTTACTTTTTCCTAAATTTACTTTTTACAATCATTTTATTCAGTAATATTTAATTCTAGACTAAAAGGTAAAATAGTCATTTAACAATTCATCAAGTTCAAAACAGAAACAACCTTTGTTCATACGACATCTCCTTTTTACAGATATCATTTATCCATACCACATTTAATGGAAAAAATATAGTACCTAACAGCAGATGGTTTTGAAGATTTTCTGTGACTGTATTTGTATGACCTGATACATTGAATGATAGCGGGAGTTCATCAAACAAGTTGGAAAGACCATTATGGCTTTCACGAAATCCATTATTTTAAGAAAAGGTCGATTGATGTTACTGATATTTATTTGATAGTTACAAATACCATTCAAAGAATCAATGAAAGAAGGTTCCTTTTTCATAAGCCAACATATTTTGTGCTTTCTTGATCACCTCACGAATCTAATTAACCTTTAATAGAAAAATTACGTTCTATGCTTCAATAAATGGAACATAGAACTACTATCAATCTATCATTAAAGCCCTTTCCCCTTTATCTCTAATAAAGTAGTCTACTTTTTTTTTTTTTTTTTCTGACGTAGGATCATAAAAGCAACATAAACAATAAAGATGAATTGGACTTATATGGAACAAGTGGACTAATAAAAAAACTGTCAAAAAGATCTAACCATTGAAGTCCAATAATTGAGTATATTCCAATCTTATAAAGAACCATCAAGGGTATAGAAACTTTGATCGAGTTTATACTCTTTATTTTTACTAATATTATCTGCTTGGCGGCTTGTAGGAGCAGGAGAAAACGAAATTTTCATGCCCCTTTGAAGATAATTAAATTACAACTTTACCCCATCCTTGTTCTACTTCTTATATTCAAAACTTTCACATGCTTTTAGGTTTCTTTTTTTCTTTTTAGTGATAACTCTTTATTGAAGTTGGGTCATTTCATTTGAGAAAGTAGAAACAACATAGGCACAAATTTGGTGATTGTGAACATTCGAGCAAGATTTTTGTAATCTTATAAAGTACATTCCTCAGACCACAAGAACTCCACTATCTCTAAAACCCCTTTTCATTACTTCAAAGCTTGTATTTTTAGTGTAGTTGGAAGGTAGAAAGTTTATAAATTCCGGTCATTTTTCACAAAACCAGCTGAAAAGGTGAATCTTTGAATGGAAGGAGAGTATGGTATGTACAGGAAAGGAAGCAGTGGATGGTCATACATGACTGGAAATGAGGAGTTTCAAGAAACTGATGTTTGGTCTGTTTGGAATCAAAGAAATGATTTTGATTCAAAATCTATCAAGTCAAAAGGATCATCATCACCTTCTAATTTGACTTCAAGAAGCATTCCTCTTTCAACTGCAGCCAGAATGATTCCTAGACCTGGAACCAACAAACCCTGCATGGAATCTAGGATTCCTCAACAACAATCAGCACCTGTCAACGTTCCTGATTGGTCAAAGATTTATGGAAAGTCAAAGAGATCAGCACAGAATTCTACATGGCTTAATTATGGTGATGATGATGGTGATGGTGATGATGATGATGGTGGTCATAATGGTAGAGCGAGTTGGGACAGTGATGATGATGATGATGATGATGATAATGGGAACATGATGCCACCTCATGAATGGATTGCACAGAAGCTTGCAAGGCGTCAAATTTCTTCATTTTCTGTATGTGAAGGTGCTGGAAGAACACTCAAAGGTAGAGATCTTAGTAGGGTAAGAGATACTGTCTTGATCAAAACTGGATTTCTGGAATAATTTTCTCTGTTCTACATACATTTTCTTCGAAAACATATTTTCCAGATTTGTTTTGAAAGAAAAGGAAAACCACAAAATTTTTTAAGAAATGACATTATTGTTATCATTATCGTGATGATGTGACACTATGAGTAATTCAGTATGATTAATTATCTTGATAATAAAAATTGGCCCTATTCACTTCTATGTGGTAGTCATGTTGGTGTGAATTATTATTGCCGGTAGGAGAGTTAACGAACCAAACATTTAATATATCATTTGTGAGTTATTCGGCAGTAAGTTCGTTTATATAATAAATGGACGAATATAAACAAAAAATTTTGTTTGTTTAGTTAAACGAACAAACACGAATAATGTTCTTAAAATTTAATTCTCTACAAAATAACAAAAACAAAGTTATTAAAATTTAATTTTCTACACAATGATAAAAACAAAGTTATTAAAATTTAATTTTCTACAAAATTGTCATAACTTTTTTTGTTTGAAAAAAATCTGACAAAAACAAAATTCTTAAAATTTAATTCTCTATAAAATGAACACAATAATGAAAACTTTTATAAAAATATATATATTTATTTTTTTTTTATAAGAAAACCTGAAAAAAAATTCTCGAAAAATCATAAAAATTTAAGAGATACTTCTACTCAACATACTAGTGACTTTGTAAAAAAAAATTCAAAAATAAACTTTTGAAGTAATTATTTTAATTTTTAAGAAATGTTAGTTTTTAAAACAAATGTTGAATATAATATAATCCAAAATGTGATGAATCAAAATATTTATGATTCAAAAAAAACTTTTGATTCAACTTGTTTATGATCCTTAATTTGTTATGATCTAAAAATATTTAGACTCAAATATTTTATAATCCTTAATTATATCTTTAATGATTCAAAATTAAATGATTCAAAATATATAATGATTCATAATTTTTTTTGAACGAAAACTTTATTTAATTGAATATATTATTGATCCAAAATCATATAATTCAAAAATGATTTGATTCAAAATACTATAATTCAAAATTTTATGATCCAAAAATAATATGATTCAATAAAAGTATGAATAAAAATTAATATTCTTCTTATTTAAAGTTTTATAATTGTTAAACATTAAAAATTCAA